CTTAAATGATAAAAATACAGGGACCTAAAATAGATGTAACCCTTTCAACTACTCCATTTTCTCCAGTGTATTAAATTGTTTTCCTTCCATTTAATAGATTTCATGACTAAGAGAGATTGTTGAATTACGCAATAAAAGAGCCAATTGATTTGCATAAAATTAAATGGAGATGGGTCTACGTGTATTTGAGACCCTGACGTGTTGTGGTTTTCCTTGATGACTAGTTTTAGTATAGATTAAGACCCTCCTCCATAACGTAATTTCTAAACTGTTATTGATTAGGGCACTGAGTCTTAGTCAGTAATTAAAATAATGCAGATGTAAGAAGATAGAATAAGCAACAATATGTACAATATTAATTGGATCTCTATCAAGCCTTAGAGATTAGGTCATGGACACTTATCTTGAATTAGCCCCGCAACCACTTGATTATATAATAATGTAAACTAAGGAATGCTATCCTTTAAAAAAAAAGTAAAGCATAAAGAATCATATGTTTTATTTAAAAGGGAAATCATAGTCTAATTAGTTGAACCTAGACTTAAAACTTCATCATAGTAACATAGTGATCGCACATAACAGACACTTTTTGATCAAAAATGTAATACGGTTCTAAATCTGAGATCTTTCAATACCCAATTTCTCTCACAAAATTGTGCGGGCTTATATTTAATAGCTTATAAATCATGTTGGCTTTTAATGGCTTTTGCTTTTATAATAAGAGCTTAACATTCCATTTTCGATGAAAGATAATCAAGTCGATCAAAATATACTTACCGCAATACACAACTAAAAACTTTCCAAGACCACTAAGAACTTCCCAAAATTCAATCACAATTTATGAAGTAGATAGTATGACTCATATTAATACATCAAATATTTAGTATTTTTTTCAACTTGTGAATTAGTTACGGATACAATGATGATCAAATTGCAAATTCTCAAATTCCTAGAAGTTTTAGACCACAATAATAGACGTGTTGACTCCAGAGTCCAGACTGTCATAACTGAGACTAGGGGCTAAGAACATATGAGTTTTACTTGAATAATAATAATAATAATAACATATGAGTTTTACTTGAATAATAATAATAATAATAATAAATTGAGAGTCGGCCTGCCCATACGCAAGATACATGCTTCATCCCATCACGCGCTAATCAACTCCATACTACAATATTTCTACTACACCCTAAACTTTATTAAAACTTAACTCACTCCTAAAAACCACTAGTTGCAAATCCAAAGTCCACACAAATTTTCAACTGCTCCTTTAACCAATCCCAAAGGATACGTTAGCCTAAACGAAATAAATAAATAAATAAATAAAATAAAAAGCCCAAAAGCTGCCCAACCCAAAAGTCAACTAATCTATTCTACTCTTCCACAGGAATATGGACTCGGAGTCCCACCGTATCCTTATCGCATAACGTCACGCAGACCAACAAAGATAAAATTTTCTATATAATCCATAATATTTTTAAAAAAAATTTAAACTACCGTTATTTTAATTCTAATAGTTGATTGTTTAGTGAGTGATTTTGATACATTCTAAATCTAATACTTACTGCACCTACGCGGATTGTACTCATTTCTAATTTGCACTCAAACAAAAAAAATCGCTTCACTGTATCTGTGTATACTTAGCCATATTTGTTTTAGAGTCCTGAGATTTCGCCGAGGCAATACGCGCCCGCCCTCCTCCGGCGCCAAGAGAGTGCGTGCCCCACCCGCGAAAAAAACGTGCCATGCAATTTCCCTCCACGCTCACAAAGCATTCCTGCTCTATTATATATACCCCCCTCCCGCAAAAAAAATTTTGGAGAACCACCACCACAAATACCCCCCGCTAATTCCCTCCCTCCGATCCGATGACCAGCTTGCACGACCTCCACTCCGACGTCGTAGGGCAGTATCCTCCGCCACGTTGACGGCCCCGCACCCTCGCCGCCGCAGCTGCTCCTCCCCTCCCTCCTCCGCTCCCCTCTCCTCCGACCCGCCCTCTGCGCCGCTCTGCCTCTCCGCCTGGCCTCTCGCCCAGCACCCCCGCCTCCTCCCCCTCCCTCTCCGCCCCCCGCCGCTTCTTCTCCAGGCCTCCCCTTCCCCGTCGCCGCTCCTCCCCTCGCGTCCCCCGCCTCCGCAGCAGCCTCCGCGGCGACAAGGAACGCTCGGCCCCGCGACGCGCGGCCTCCCCGCGCCGAGATAATCTCGGCCGTGACATCCACCAACGGGGGCGTCCCCGTCCTCTCCCCGCGCGTCGTCGAGACCGGCACCTCCTCCTCCTGGTTCCTTGCCTCGCCGTTCCGCGTCGACGGGCTCGAGCCGCAAGGACCACCCCGACCCGCCGACGCGGGCCGGCAGCCGCGATAGACCGCGCGAGATCACCCTCAGCTGACCGTCGTCGACCCGGCGACGGGCCGAGCGGTGAACCTGTCGACAGCGCGGCCGGTATCCGTGCGACCGGCACTGGTACAGCCGGTGAGACGCTCTCGTCGGTTCGCCGTGGTCGTCGGCGGTGCGCCGCCAGCGCCGTGGTGCACGTGCGGGGAGGGGGAGCGAGGGGGCGCGTGAGGGAGGTGGTGCTGACGGTGGAGGACCTTGACGGGAGGTCGGTGAGCGGGAGGGAGAGCCTGGCGGTCCTGAAGGCGGCGATGAGGGGGGAGGAGGGGCAAAGCGGGAAGAGCGCGGCGCGGGAGAACTACAGGGAGCTTCCTGAGGAGGAGGAGGGAGAGGAGGGAGAGGAGGGTGAGGAGGGAGGGGGTGCTGGACTTGTGCTGCACCGCGTTCGGGGCCCTCATGTTCTTGACTTTCGTCATGTTGATGCTCTCCAGATGAATTGAAGGCGGTTAATTAATTCAATTAGAAAGGTTTTAAGGAGGAGATTAGGGAGTTGGGTTAATTAATTACAGATGGATAGAAGGCACATAAATTATGGGTCCAGGATTGAAGCGGATCGATCACGGTGTATTAGTTTGTTTGTATTTCTCCCTTAAATTAAATAAATTTAGTTTCACTTCATTCTTGGACAAATTAATACGAGACTAGACTATTTTGATAACGGCGCCAGTGAGTCAGATCAAACTTAACAACGGAATCATACGTGGAAAGAGGCAAGTAGTAGGTCTGTTATTGACTTCAGCACTAACAAAAAAGTCCAGACGCAATCATAGACTTGTTTGATTATCTAGAAACGACTAGCTAGCATCCGGAGGTTCCGACCGTCCTGGATTTGAGAGCACATACAGGAATCTAATTTTTTAGAATACTCGAGGTCGTGTATTAATGAGGGGTGCCACCGAAGGATCTCAGGGAAGTTCTAGAATACTTATGGTTGTATATTTCGCGGCTCCTCTTACGGTTCGTCCACGCTCTCGGGTTCCGACCGTCCTGGATTGGAGAGTACATACAGGAATTTAATTTTCTAGAATACTCGAGGTCGTGTATTGAGGGATGCCACCGAAGGATCTCGGGGAAGTTCCCTCGTAGAACCAAAAAAAAAAAAAAAATCATTTGAATATTAACAGTATGTGAATCCCCCCCCCTCGGGCCCATATTCCTTGGCATATAATTTCCATAAAATTGAAAACGACGGGTCCTTTGTCTACTCCCCATCGAGTTAGCTAATTGTCATTATTAATTCTAACAACGCTCAACTCGTACCCTCCTGATCTCTGCGTAACCGGTCCAGGAGTGGTTCGCTCGGACTTTCACTTTCGACAACCTAACAGGACGTAGAAAATTGTGCTATATTCCTACTCCATTTGTTAATAGCCTAATAAAATTAATCAACCATGAATATTGTCTGAATTAATATTGCCACGTACACTTTCTAAGTACCCTCCTGCTATATTTCTCTGTAAATAATGAATAATCATAATGAGCTCCCTCAGCGGTTTCTAATACGGATCGACATTGATGCTTCATCTCAGCAATATTAGAGGCCCCTTTTTATTTTATTTTATTTATTTTATTTAATTTTTTTAATCTACAGAGGAAGAAGGAGATGACTGAACATAGCATCCCAAAGAAGAAAAGGAAGAGCTTAAAGATCCCACCGTACGTTAATTAGTTTACCCTTGCATCTATTTACCACCTTAGGGGGGTGTTTGTCTCAATTTTTTTTGGGATATAGGATGGATTACAAATTCTAGGATGAAAAAGTTGGGTTTTTTGAGTTTATGGATTCCATGACCTTTATTTGATTCAAAATAAATTTTGGGATATTGAATACCCAAATAATAAAAAACTAATATATTATAGCATTTGTAAAATCCTCTCTCAGATAGAGGATTTAGGCTAGATCTCTCCCAACCTGTTAAAGTAAGAGAGAGAGAGAGAATCTTAGGTAAATTTCCCTTGAATTGAATATTGAGTGTGCACATATATTTATACAAGTAGAGGAGTGTGAGGTTTGTTCTCCCAAGCAATGTGGGACTAAAACCCACTACAATACACTATTATCAACACAACCAAAATTTGTAATGCTACAATTTGAGTTTGAACCAAACAAAATATTACACATTATAGTATTTGTTAATTAAAGGGCAAGTAAGCGCTAAAAACAGATGTCTTCACAAATATTAACTTTGTGAAATCCTATACATGTCAGTTTTGCTATCTGGAAAACTGAGCGTTACTTAGTATCGGTGTCTTCACAAGATTCGTAAGGGGTGGAAAGCAATCCGGATATATCCGAACCAACCGTAACCGCATCCATCGAGGATGCCGTTACGGTGGCTAAAATCTGAAAATGGAATTGGCAAGATCGGCCTAGTTTCAGTCACTTTAGTAAAACTAGGTCGATTTGTGAATTTTTTTTTTTCAAACTCCACGAGATTGAGAAATCCGTAGACCTAAATTGTGCGTTAAACTCTATGGGATTCTCAATCTCATAGACTCAAAATCGACGCGACAGAAAGTATGTCTATTTTGATAAATATTTTGGAAATAAATCGATTTTAGTGAATATTTTTTTTAAAGGGTGTCTAATTCAAAAATTGCTCTCTCTCTCTCTCTCTCTCTCTCTCACGATCCCAAATCGAACGCTGACAGCAAATATACTTCAACAGATTATTTCCTCTCTCTCAGGTCTCATGGCGACGAGCATCAATCAGCACCAGTCTATTCTCGAATCGGCCTCGCGCTTCCCGCTCCCTCAAGGTTCGCCCTATCTCAATCCCCCCCTCTCAGTCTCCACCCAAAAAAAAACCTAATCTTTTCTCCAATCACAGGACTCAGATTCTCCTATGGGACCGCGGGATTCAGAGCGGAGGCGTCGGTGCTGGCGTCGACGGTGTTCCGATCGGGGATCTTGGCGGCGCTCCGATCTCTGAAGACTGGCGCTGTGATCGGCCTCATGATCACGGCGTCTCACAATCCCGTTAACGACAACGGCGTCAAGATCGCTGATCCTGATGGAGGGATGCTGACTCAGCAGTGGGAGCCCTTCGCTGATGCCCTTATGTGATAAAGTTGAGTTTTTGACAAATTTAGCGCTGCGTGTAGTAAATTTTGTTGTTTGATTCGGTCGATGAGTGACTCATGATGAATCCCTTATAGCAAGACTGCAGGAGTTGTCTTCATTAATTTGCTTTATGTAGTTATCTTCTGTAATTTAGATATATGTTCGTAACTTCACAAAAATTTCAAATCATGGTCATTTAGAGTGAAGAAGACTCCTTCGCAGTCAGATACTGTACAATATGGATATATGGATGTGTAAAACCGTTGCAAATTCTTCATAGACACATCAATTAAATATTTATTTATTTATCTATGTGTATCTATAAGTCACGGAGTCTTATAAATTTAATAATTTGACAAACATTAAGAAGTCTGTAATACAAAAAGTTCATCAACTACTGCATTTTATACACTAAAAGTGACAGGCTTATCCTAAGAAACATGAAGGCTTCTGGAAAAAAAAATGTGGAAATTAGGCAAAGCCCTCAATTGGAACTAGACTTCTTTGATCTTCAATATTTGAAAAATAAGTAAAAGTTTTTACGAGAAGGGATTTCCCATTGAGGCTTTTGTTTCTAAGTCGGTTTCTTTTTGTAATAGTAACTTTGATGTTTCTTGCATGTGCATTTCATGGGCCATAATGCTAGTAAAAGATGCAAATTCCTTTTCTTTCGTAATGTGTAACTTTGCTGATTCTATTTTAAGTAAATTTTTGTTTCCTATTGACAGGTGGTTTTAAAATTCGTAGAGGAGGAGAATATACCATTAGGAGGGGTAAATTCTTCTGCAGAGATTTTATTAGGAAGAGACACAAGGCCTAGTGGCCGAGCTCTGGTTGAAGCTGCAAAACAGGTGCGCTGTGTCCTCCAAGTCGTTTGCAACTTCTCACAAAATTTTCAATGAATGATACTTACCATCCTTTAAAATTCTGCAGGGAATTAGTGCCGTAATTGGTGCAGTTGCTATAGACATGGGGATCTTAACGACGCCACAACTTCATTGGATGGTTAGAAGGAGGAACAAAAGGATGAAGGCATCCGAATCAGATTATTTTGAACAACTTGCTAAATCTTTTAGGTCAGTCAAAACTGGCCATTTATACAATTTGATTATAATGTTTGGTTTAAGATGTGAATGGTGGATGCAGGTGCCTTGTAGATCTGGTTCCCAAAGAAATGGCTAAGTTAGTGGATGCAAAATTTGTAGTAGATGGAGCGAATGGTGTTGGTGGAGAAAAACTTGAGCAATTGAAAGGAATGCTAACTGGGTTGGAAGTTGAGGTAAGAAACCTCGGTAGGAAAGGAGACGGGATTCTTAATGAGAATGTTGGTGCTGATTATGTACAGAAGGAGAAGGTTATTCCTTGTGGGTTTGGTTCTGATGACATGGGAATAAGGTGAGGCGTCTTCCCATTTCTTTCTACACTTTATATGTGTTCCATATGCTTCAACTTTGAGTTTGGACTTCAAAAAAATGCCTATAATATGAGTTTGTTTAGTATTGCAGGTGTGCAAGCTTGGATGGTGATGCTGATAGGCTTGTTTATTTTCGACTATTATCAGCAAACAGCAGAAGTGTTGATCTTGTTGATGGCGATAAAATACTCTCTCTCTTTGCTGTATTTATCAAGGAGCAATTAGATAGTCTTAGCAAAATGACAAATGACAAGTTGAGGAACAGATTATCATCAAGGTTGGGCGTCGTGCAAACGGCATATGCGAATGGTGCTTCAACACATTACCTCAAACAACTAGGCTTGGAAGTTGTGTTTACTCCAACTGGTGTGAAATATTTGCACAAGAAAGCTTCAGAATATGACATCGGGATCTATTTTGAGGCAAATGGTCATGGAACAATTCTATTTTCAGAAGATTTTATATCTTCCCTACATGATGTGGAGAAAGAGCTTGCTTCGTGTCCAGGTTAACTCAACTACCTTATATGACAGCTTATACTTGCCTTCATAGTTCCGGCAGATTAGTGATTGTTCGTATTGTTTATTTTAGATTGTGAGAGTCGCAATGCTGCTTTAAGATTGTTGGCAGTTAATCAGTTGATCAATCAAGCAGTAGGAGATGCTCTTAGTGGCTTGCTTTTGGCAGAGGCAATTTTACAATATTATGGATGGTCCATTAACAGATGGAGTGAGCTGTACCACGACCTACCAAGCAAACAGTTAAAGGTAAAGCCTATACCCTTGTACACATTTTCTTTTCCAAAGGATAGCTTGCACAGAATAATAGATTTAGGTTTCAATATCATTCACCTTCCTTTTCCATTTCTTTTCTTCTTGATATTGACTACTTACAGAACAAACTTGAACTGAATGAAAAGCTATCTTTACCTTACAAGATAGATGTGTGTCAATGTATACATTGACCTTTTTGTCCAACAACTATCTAGAAATATAGCCAGAAGTTGCTACAATTGTTTGGTACTGAGTATACAGGTATTATTCTCGTTATCTGCTGTTAAAGTTTTGGATAACCAGTGTTAGCGACCTAACTACTTTTGATGGTAAAAGTCCTATATTTAGTAGACACTCTTATTGAGAATATCTATCAATTGTACTATTCTTAACAAGATTCCTTTTCCCTAATATAATCTCTGATTAAATACATTCAAGTGAGGCGCCAACAACATCAACATGCCACATATAATATAACCATCCAAAATCTTCGTTGATGCAAAGACGATATCAGCCTCACTTATGCCTGAATTAGCTTGTCATTGAACACAGATGAAACACGTATACTGTGTCCCGTGCATGTTGAACACAAATCTGTGTCAGAAATGAGTCAGTAAAGGTACATGACCAGAAATATATTTGTCTGCTCTAGTTCTGACAGCAGGGTATTGCTTGAAATGCATGTCTTTAGGACTGAACTTGCACATATATGGGAGGTTGTTGCTGTTTGTCTCTCTAGGTTTTGACAGCATACCATTGTTTGTAATGCTTTTCTTCAGGGCTTGGCTTGTGTGCTTGTTGGTTAAAGCTATGAGTTTTCACAACTGTGGCAAGAAGAATGAATATGAAATGTTCTACAAGGTAGAACAAAGAGACTGTGGAATGAGTAGGGTCGGAATTAGGCAAAGTGGCCCATGTTCTTTGACAACTTGCTAACATGGAAATGCTTTGGGTTTGATCACAAGTGACATTGAAGTTTAACTCAAAATAAAATGTCTTAAAATTCCTTCTACTACATAAAAACTCCAAAGTTGTGGTGAGAGTTGAGGATTATAGTTTAATACTGTAACATGCTCATGTAGGTTTAGTGCCTTTTTCATGGGCCAGTACGACTATTTTATGCGGTCGTACCTTCTTTCTAAATATGCTTTTAAATGCATACCTAGTGGGATTTAAATCTGGGTTGCGCTTGTACCATTCTAAGTTACCTTCCACTGCCACAAAGCTTTGAAGCTGTGGTCCTGATTAAGGGTTATTTTTATGCTGCACATGATGTGAGCTTGTCAAAGAAGTACAGATTTATGTTTGTTGCTCTAAAGCAAACAAACAACTGAATTGTTTATAGTTCTTCTCCCTTTACTTTGCACTCATTGTGCACACAATAATTTTAGTATATGCCTTGTTGCGGTAGTACTGTAGTTATCTTTCTTGACTTTAGCCTACGATCTTCTTTCTCAAAACTAATAAAAAGTCTTTCTTGATACTCTTTGCTCAGTAAATTCATAATGCTCTTCAATGCTCAGGTAAAAGTTGCAGATAGAAGTGCTGTTGTCACAGCAAATGCGGAAACCCAAGTTGTGAAACCATCAGGTTTACAAGAGCTGATAAACGCTGAGACTGGTAAGCAGTTATGCTACTTTCAAGTGACTTCTCTTTAATACCTGCATGCAACTTAGAATTATTTCTCAGTTTGATTTTCTGTTGAAAAATCCAATTTGATATAATCTTCTTCTCGGTCAGTGTATAAAACATTAATTTACAGAATTGCAGTACTCTCCATTATGTGTTTACCGAGTGCGTACACTGGTGTGTATTTAGTGTGTATGACACAACACATGACAACCAGAATTCAGGAGAAAGAATATGAAAAATAATTGTTAAAAAAATCTAAATTGCATACAAATATAGTAACTTTTTATGAGTGCATATGATATATGGCCAGTGAGATTAATAACTACATTAGGAATTATAATTATAAACAACATTCGACACCCAGGTAACTGATATGAGTAAGAGAATAAACATAAGTAACTGACATGAGTAAGAGAATAAAAATAAATAAATGGAAAGCATGAGCACCAGATTTAAAAGGTACCATTTACGGGCACCAATAACACCTAGTAATTCAAGTATAACCATGCTGATATTGAATTATTAAACAAAGTGGCATCAGTATTAGGTAATGTTAATGACTAATTAGGTATTTCAATATAACCCCATGAAAATATTCCTCATATGATTTCTCCTACAAACCTTTGTATCTTAATACCCCACCTCCCTCAAACCTAAGTTATTTAACTCCCAAAACCATTAATTTGATATACGGGCAAAAAATACTTCACTAAGTTTAACAAACTTTGTTATCCCCATTTTTCTTATTTTCACTAAGTATAACCATGCTGATATTGAATTATTAAACAAAGTGGCATCAGTATTAGGTAATGTTAATGACTAATTAGGTATTTCAATATAACCCCATGAAAATATTCCTCATCTGATTTCTCCTACAAACCTTTGTATCTTAATACCCCACCTCCCTCAAACCTAAGTTATTTAACTCCCTTGACCATTAATTTGATATACGGGCAAAAAAATACTTCACTAAGTTTAACAAATTTTGTTATCCCCATTTTTCTAATTTTCACTTTCAGTTGACATCATTTGGAGAATTAATACATTTTTTAATGATAAAAGGTTATATAAGTAATTTCATCATGTTTCCATTCTCATTAATCTGCAACTAATCGCAAGAAATTCTGGAACAAGGCATTTGATGAAGTAATATCTGGATAAAAAAAGTTCCGAAATCTGCTCATCCAGTAAGAATAGATTTTTGCAACTCACAAATTGAACTATTTCATCAGAAAAGTTAGGAGAACCGGGACCATCTAAGCTTCAAGGAGTTTGGAGATGGATTTCGAATTCATCGTACGATTCTGGTTTACTTCACCAAAGCAATTTTTTTGATATATGGGCAAGGAGTACTCGCTAAGTTTAAGGAAATTTGTTATCCTCAATTATCTTATTTTCACTTTCAGTTGACATCATTTGGAATTAAGATGTTCTGCAATGATAAAAGGTTGAATTAGTAATTTCATCATGTTCCCATTCACATTAATCTGTAACTAACAGTAAGGAATTCTGGAACAAGGCATTTGATGAAGTAATATCCGGGGAAAAAAAAGTTTCGAAATCTGCGCATCAAGTATGAATAAATTCTTTTCCGGCTCACAAATTGAACTATTTCATCAGAAATACTAGGAGCACCAGGACCATCCAAGCTTCGAGGAGATTGGAGACAGATTTCGAATTTATAGTATCATCTTGTTTTAGCCTGAAGCAGCCCTAAAACACACAATGTTTTTGAAACTGTCATCCAAAACCCAACAGTTTCTTTAAAAATACACATGCACACACAAGCAGAAGCCGCACACAATTTCTTTTTAGGAACGAAGTTAAAACTGCACTATTCTTGTACTAGATCAGTTCTCTACAGTCCATTTTCTATCCCTGGTGTTTTCAGCAAAAGTAGACATACCATTCAGTCAAAAAACAAGGGTAAAAATTCTTAGGTGCAACCTTAACGCATCCAGTTTTCAAGCCTGACTTCAACTAAAGCAAAAGTTAGACCAGGACTGTCTTGAAAGTCAATTTAATGAAAGAAAAAATGCACTGATTTTGGTCTTTTACCTGTTTATAGTCAAGTTGTGCATGCTTGTTTACCTTCAATATTTAAGAATAGTCAAGAAATTTATGCATATGTACTCATTATCCAAGCAATGTAATGAAAATTGATTAACACCTTTTATTTGAGGTGGGTATACAATGGAAGGTTTTGAAGGAGTAGATAAACACTCTTGCTAGTAACAAGATACTAAGAAACATATATACTAGTAGGGGTTAAACAAGTTTGAAAGCCAGCCAAACTGCTTATACGCTTCTCAAATATGCAACTAGATGTGTATAGTTATCCAGCAGCATATGCTCTAGCCACATAAACTAGGTGCATATGGTCATTTTACGTGTCTGTTTTATATGACATTCCTTGTTCTGTAGTTTACAACACTGAAGCTTTTAATATTTAATAACATTAAGTCCCACCCTTAACAAACTTGGATAGGTGGTTTTTGTTGGGTTGACACATGTTTTTTATTTGACTAAAAGAGGCTCGTGTATGGCATTGTAGAAGAAATGCATTATGAAAATAAATTTTAACTTAATTTTGTTAGTCTAATGAATTATAAGGGAGACGTCTACTTTTGAAGAAAATAGAAAGGCAAGAGGCAATATAAGAGGGATGAGGATAACAATGGGAAAGTATAGAATGATTTCCATAGTCATGATTGATCGCAAAATTCATATAAAATGGCGAGCTTATGTTCTGAAGATTTCCAGTTCAAAACAAAGTGTAATGCGTTAACTTGTTATGTTTCTTCCTATTGACATGTTTGCTACCATTAACTTACTGCAGATAAGTACTCTCATGGGCGATGCTTTATTCGGCCATCTGGTACCGAGGACATAATACGTGTTTATGCTGAAGCATCCACTCAGGAAGCAGCTGACTCTCTCGCCCAAGCAGTAGAGCAACATGTTAAACGCCTTCTCACGGAAAAATCTTTTTAAAAGGTTTTCTATCAAATCAGCGACTATTTTGATACGTCCGATATAAAATTCTTGCAACTAACATGACTAACATTTAACTGCTATCAAAAACATGTTCCAGTGGTTGCAGTGAAATCATCATCACTGTTTGATTTTGTACAAGTCAGTTATGTTTGTGTATTTGCACTAGGTAAGTTTGTTGGTGCTTTAACTCCTACAGTTGCTAACGTTTTCTTCGAAAATCATGTCATAATAAGTCTGAATTCGTTCTGAATGAAATCGTTCCTGAATGGTTGATGCTATAGGAGTGTACGAATATGCTGAGTGTCAGGCCTTTGTATGGATGCACATTGCGTTGGTTCTGTTCTGGCCATCAAGGTACCGTAGCTGGTTGCCAGAAGCTGGGCTTTGTTGATGATAGAACTTCTATGGTTACAAAGATCACATTAAGCTTACAGCCAACTGTAGAACTCTTTGGCATCTCATTCGGATTTCATCTCTTGTGCTTTATATCATGAAAACGTTTTGATGTGGTGAGGAAAGGGTTTTGTTATGTTTATTTTTTTTAAAAAGGGATTAATTGCGGATAGACTCCCTATACTATTGCCCAATTGCGGACAAACCACCCTTAGCTCTATTATTATTGCAGATAGAACCCCTGGGTGAATTATTCGACTCTTATACTCTCAGGAGGTTCTCAGGAGGTGTATTTGTCAAAACCAGTTTCTTTTTCTTTCAGGGCGAAAGAGTCAGAAAAAGGTTTCATTCAGGGTATCCATCTGTAACAATGGAACTACAGGGGTTCCGTCCGCAATTAGGCGATAAGAGTCTATCCACATTTCAAAGTACAATATCCTCTGCCTTTAGAAACTATCAATTGAAAGAATAGAGCGAGGGCCAAGTTGAAACCACAGAACAGAAGAAAACAGAATGCAGAAACCACAGTTTATTGCAAAATAAGTGATCTGGTATCATGTCTCTCTTCCTGAAGGATTTCGACGCTGTTCTTGTCCGACACTTCCCGTATCCTTATCCGACACTCATTGGACACTTATTCAATATATACATATATCGATTCAAACGTGTACCCAATTATATAGCGCGTCTTTTATGTCTAAAACACTCATAATACTCTTCTTTGGACGTATATCTTACACCTCATCTTAAATTTCTTCAACTCGTTAGATCAGGGCATAGTTCGTTTCAATCCATACACTGTTTGCTAGTATGATTGAAGTGTTATTTGGGTTTCTAGGTAAAATTAAGTTGTTTTTCAATCTTTAATTTATCCACTAATAGAAACATAAAAAAATTTGTCTCGTATGATATAAATGTAAAAACAATCAATCTCATATAAAGTACCTGATTATGGCAAATGATATCAGCAAAAGCTTGAGAGAGAGAGAGAGAGAGAGAGAGAGAGAGAGAGAGAGAGAGAGAGAGAGATTATTGGCCAGCAACGACGAATAATAGAGCTCAGCAAGCCCGAATTATATGAAGCAGTCGCTGCAGATGACGAGTCTTGAAGAAAATGGGCGTCTTAGATCTCAGAGTACTTTTATTATGCAATTAGTATTCCTATCAATAAGCAATATATTTATTATAGAATAATTAGACAACAAGGCGTAGCATTTGCTTACTGACAAGTAAGATTATCCAATTAAAAATTAATTTATCATTATTACATTTATTTTGCTAAAGTAACTATTCGCCCAGAAATAATAATGTAGTTCACAGAAAAGATAAAAATATAGAAAAATATATATTTAGCAAAATTATTCGTATTTCAAAATTTGGGTTATCGGATCATTAAAAATTTTCAAATTATGGAATTTGAAGTTTTCAATTTGGATTGACAGTATTCAATCTCGTTGGATGCTATTAACAATTAACAAGCATTTATTTATTTATTTATGACATTCATTTATTTATTTATTTATGCTAATGCCTTCAACTAAGAGCATCTCCAACAGCTTTCCCATCTTCTTGAAATACTTAAATTTGGAGAATATAGAGCTTTTTTTTGGTCCAACAGATTCTCCATCTCATTCCCCAAAATAGGGAAGGAGGAGAAAAAATAGGGAGCCTTCCCCAAATCTGCAGCATTCTCCAAATTTTTGGGGAGAGCTTTATTATTGTAATAAATGCGTTTTTTCAAAATGGGGAAGCTGTTGGAGTTGGAGCAAAAATAATTTGGAGAATATGACTTTTGTTTCTCCATTTTGGAGAAAATTTTGGGGAAACTGTTAGAGATGCTCTAAATGATACAATGATCGACAAACAAATCTGATTAATTTTTTTATCACATTTTGGGTCTCTAACCATCGTTAAATAATCTAATCTAATCACACGCTCTTTAATTAATTATCCAAAGAGGCTCGACCCAACTCCACTATTAGAAAATACATTACCTCGATCTAAACCCTCGTTCCTCTCAAAAATCCCAACGATGGCGGCAGCAGCTCGAAGAAAACCTCGAGGCGGCGGCGACGTCATGGACTCGATCTACTCCGTCGTCGCCCTCGTCCTCATCCTCGTCGCCTGCGTCGAGCTCGGCGACGCCGCCACCGCTGTCGACGTCTACCGCCTCATCCAGTACGACATCGCCGGATCTCCCTTCGGATCGAGGCACGCCGCCCTCAACCACCACGCCGGCGCTTCTCCGTTCGATTCAGGCGTCGATCTCTCGAGAACCGTGCTGATCTTGCCTGTTCGGGACTTGAATCTCACTTCTCTCAAGGGTAGGGCTCGGATCTTGATTTCTTATTTTCTTAGGATTAGGGTTTAGTTTGGAATGGTATCGTTAGTTAGAGAGTTTGGACCGAGTGTTTGGATCTTGTGTTTAAGGGTTTTGAATTGAGTTCACTGACTGATTTTAAGTGTGTTAGTTTAGTTGATTGGATTGATTAATGTTGGTATTGAGAGAATTAGAGTAAAGATTGCAACTTAGTGATAATTATGCTGTAAAATTTTCTTTTTTCTACAGGTACTAGAGTTTAAGTGATTCAACAGCATATTGTCCATAATGTCAGTTGATATGTGAAGCAGTTAGTGCAAATATAATTTTGTTTATTCCTTTTTTTTTGGTTTTAAATGGCTGTTAGCTCTTAAAGTAGACATTTTTTTTAAGGGAAGAGAGGGTTCGTTAGAGAAGCTGATGACAAAATTCTACCAAAATTATGCTATAATGCAATAAATCCAAGATGGACCAGTTACATAATAGCTAAGAAAGCAAAATAAAATTAAGAGAGGTTAGCATTACTTGGAATTAATCTCACATTGTACTACGTTCTACCCTTTGGTCATGCGAATTGAACTCTTAAATCTCTATTAGCAGCCATGTGTGTTTTTACGTAAATAGAGGGAGAGTCCCATTTCGTTAGAGAAGATAATGACAAAGTCCACCAAAATTATGGTATAATAAACTACATCCAAAATAGACCAATTGCATAAAAGCTACAGGGGAAGGAGGACGGTCCAATCAATTTCTATCAGATTGAGCATACCACGTCTGTGTCGAATCCTGTGTTTTAGAAGGGGTAGCCACTCACTTTACTTGGCTTAAGAAAGCAAAATAAAATTAGAAGAGGTTAACATTACTCGGAATTAATCTCACATTGGAATATGTTTCACTCTTTGGTCTTGCAAATTGATCTCTTAGATATTCTATAAACAGTGGAACTTATGTAACAGGAATATTTGATACAGACTCATCCAATAAGATCAGAAGATAATAACTTACTTGTATTGTGGACTTATGTAGAATGAGCAGAGATGAGAATGCTGCCCTCTCTCTCCTCTTCAATTTGGTGTCATAAGCCTCCTTAGACACATGCTATTTGTCTGGAAGACATGAAAATCCTTTCTCAGACATTTCGGCTGCTAGTATGCCATTTTTAGATCAGAGTTTTCTCAGTATAAAATGTAGTTTAATAAAATTCTGAATTACCTTGTTTCTTTTAGAACTTAATGATTTGTGGGTATACAGATATTTATTTGTATTTCACGATGATTGTTGCTTTATATATGCCTTATTTGCTAAACAAACAAGTGGAGGTCTCTTGGTTATTTTCTCCTTCACAACAAAAAAATTAAAATAAAACAAAAATAAAAAATAAAAAATTTATTGTGATACTTTCTCCTGTTCTACTAGCTTGAAGCTAAAAATAAAAAAATAAAAAGATAAAAAAATGTCATGTTTCTGTCCCCTTATGCTGAAAGTTCGCATTTGTTTTCTTTTTGACGGATGATGTTGGCTTTCTAAGTTGGTGAAAATGCTAAATTTTGGCACTCAAAACATTTCAGAGTACATTACAAATAAGCAGCCATTGGGAGGCTTGTTGCTTTTGCTTCCTCGAAGATCCAGTGATGATTCAAGTGAAGATGGGCTGTCAAGGAACATATTGGTTGAGTTGGAACAGCTGCTCATACATGCTAATATTCCTGTAAGTAAATGGCAGTTTCTTGTGAAATATCACGCCTATAAACCCCCCCCCCCCCCCCCCCCCCCCACACACACACACACACACAAATAAGCAGTATATCTGTTGCAAGCCAGAAGTTTTTCTCTTTCTTTTCTGCATATTATCGCTCACAAGTGAATTTGACTGAGGAGCGACCATCGTCAAATGCCCAAATTTGACAGTTTTCCAAGCTAAGCTATATGACTAGCGCTTTTTGAAAATAGGAATCTCTTGTAGGTTATGTTACTAACTTACTATATGTGTCTTATGGTGTTTTAACTTTTGTTGCCTTGTGGTTTCTCTCAGTTCTGTAATCACATAATTTACAGTATTAAGTATCAACTATCAAATTACGTATATTTTGTTTATGATGAATGTCTTGACTTGGATTCTACTGTTGTGGCCAGTTGTTGATATCAAATTCTGTTCAAAAGATGTGATCCCACCCTAGTAACATAGTTTTCTCAGAAATAGTCAATTTTGTTTATTACATCCTATTTTTACTTTAATCTTTTGTTTAAAGGTTTTGTATGATATATCTTTGTGAGAAATCATTTGTTATCCCATAAAGAAGGGAGAAAGATGTATTAACTATTAAGTTTGACCCTTTTGATAAAGTTTTGAAACAATTTATCTTCTACTCGAGTATCCAAGTTATATATCCATTTTCTTCTTTCCCTTTTTTTAGCAGTTATCTTTCTTATGCACACAAAGAGGAGATATGGAAACATGATATGCGTATGTTCTGTTATGTCACATGACAGCATCTACCTCATACTTATCAAAATATTTCAAGAAAATAGTAGATGATGTTTTTTATTTCCTTTCGATTTGTACAATGATATATTGTTATCTTAGTTTTTTTTTTGTCTTGCACTTGTAGTATCCAGTATATTTTGCTTTCGAGGATGAGAAAATAAATGCTGTATTAGCTGATGTTCGGAGGAGTGAGGCTGCTGGTCAGCCTGCCACGGCAACTACTGGCGGGTGAGTCATTTTGTTAGAAATCTGTTTACAGACTCATAAAAAGATATGTAGTAAGCATATTATAGGAATCACATACCTTTTCTTTTATCTGGTATCATAGATCAAATAGATACATTATCCCCTTAAAATGAAGATAAATAGCTACCCTACCTTTGTTCATTATTGGGTTCAAGTACTTATCATGTTATATCCACACCTGCAATGGCATTACATGGTACAAAACAAAAAGAACTTTGGGGAATGAGGGATTCCACCTACAATATTAGCTTGTCCTGCAGGTATATTTCAAATGCGTGCTAATGCTCTCTAGTAGAAAGATATATGGCACTATTTCCTAGCCCACTTACTGGAGTTGGATAATTACATATTACTTTCTCTTGCGTATGATGAACAATTTGGCTTATCCTAATTTCTTCATTGTATTGATGAATCTTACAGATACAAGTTCGTTGTTTCGACATCAGAACCTAGGAAAGTTACTTCTCCCACCATCACAAATATTCAGGTCAAGCCATCTTACTGAATGCATAAAGAACTAAGTTGAGCTTGTCTTTCTGAGTTTTTCTAGAACTTTTGTTAAGATATTGCTGTAGCGCATCTATTACATTTCCACAGCAGTTAAGAATATCTATGTGCCTCACCTAGAGGTTTTTAATAGGGAAGGTGGTTCCATTAGATTATTAAAGCTTATTGGGGTGCCTTGATTTCCATTCCCTGCAGCGCTTCCTTTTTCTCCCCTTGTCATCTGTACATTTCCCTCCTTTCACTAGGGAATTTAGAGTGGTACCTGGTTCCATCATCCATGGCTTAAACATGCTTGACCAATAACTGTCATTTCCTCCTCCTCGGCCCTTATGTTTTATAGCAAGGTTCTGTCATGTCCATACTTGTCTCTTCAAGAGTTTAATTACTAAGAGGTGGATAGAACCAGTCATCAGTATGGTCACTTCTTTTGTTATTATTTCTTTTATACAGACACGTCCATACACCTACATTGCTCCCACACTTGGCTCATTTCATTTAAGACCATCATCAACGTGGTGAGTGAGTTAACTAGACTGTACCATAATGTTTTCTCCCCCTTGGCTTTGATTATCTGAATTGTGTCTTCCTGTAAGAAATATTCTTCTATTTAGAGCTAATTGTGCCTTCTGCACAAGTATTCCTCTTTCTCTGATACTTTTTTTTTGTTTCTTGTTTGTTTGTTTGTTTTTGCATGTGTGTGTGGTGGGGTGGGGTTGTGTTCAACTTCTACAGTTGCTATAGTCTTTCAAGTTTTCTGTCTGGACCTCCCCCATTCCATGACATATTTGTATAGCTAGGAAGATTAGTACACCTGTGAAATTTTCCTTCAAAATATTTTACTGCATTTTTTGGATACTTTCCCTGGAGATAATAGTACCAATTTGTATGCTCATTGCAATTCATGTTTGCAATCCATGTTGAGAGATAGGGTGGGTAAGGAGATCCAGCAGTATATGAATGATTTAACCGAATACCATGCCGACCTAATGGTCTTATTTTATTGGACATTAGTATGCCTCTTTAATGAAATTTAGTAATATATAACAGGGATGGTTGCCTGGGCTGAAAGGAAATACAGATGCTAAGCAGCTGCCAACAATTGCTATAGTTGCATCATATGACACTTTTGGTGCTGCTCCGGTATGAAGACCATACACAGTGACACAGTATTAGTTCTTACAGTTTTTGTACGATTCTAATGACATCATTCTAATTGAAACTGAAGGCACTTTCCGTAGGAAGTGATAGTAATGGAAGTGGAGTCGTAGCTCTATTAGAAATAGCAAGACTTTTCTCTGGGCTTTACTCAAATCCCAAGACCCAAGGGAAGTATAACCTTCTTTTTGGATTAACATCTGGTGGACCTTATAACTACAATGGCACACTTAAGGTCAGTTGGGCCTCCTGCCTGATTTTCCAAAGAAAAACAATCATAATGTAGTTTTGTTTTTGGTTGATGTATTCTTATTTAATTCTTTGCAGTGGCTCAGGAGCTTTGATCAGCGCTTACGAGAGAGTATTGACTATGCTATATGTTTGAATAGCATTGGCTCCTGGAACAATGAGTTATGGATGCACGTGTCAAAGCCCCCAGAAAATGCATACATAAAACAAGTGTTTGATGTAAGTTCTATACTTGAGAGATTACTCAACATTTATTTTAAGAAACTCACATTATGTACCCGTTCCTTTGAAGATTGCTGACCTTTTTCTTGGATGAATTATTTGATTGCAGAGTTTGTCTGATGTTGCTAAAGAGATGGGAGTTACTATTGGTATAAAGCACAAAAAGATAAATATTTCAAATTCAAGAGTGAGTAGATTTTATATTTTCTACTAGAAGGCTGCAAAATTTTAATATTTTGGTAAACCAAAGCTCAATCTACTTGTCAGCATCATCCTGAAGTTGCCCAATTAATTATTTTATGCCAGCTGAAGTTTTATACTGAAGTTCTACAGTTGCACATTTTTACAGCTGGCATATATGCATGTCATCTTTAAATGACCTAGTCATTCTGATCTTGTTCTTTTCCAATAATTTACCTTTATGACTTCACACATCATGGATTTATCTATGAGGGAGAAGATTTTTTCCACTGAAATTGCATACCAAATTAAATCCCATCCTTAGAAAGGTTTTCTTGACAGCTTATTCTTGGTCTGGGGTTCAAGTTTGATTTAGTATTATCAGTATCAATTTCACTTATTGCGTGGACACAAGTTTGTGATGGCCATATTCTTGAAATCAGGTCATCTATACGACTATACCCTCATCCTTCTCCTACACATACACTTTTTTTCTGCTTGTCCACATTGGAGATTTTCCATGATAGATTCGTAGCTTTAGATGGAATTATGAGCATTCTACCTTTGATTCTTAAATGGCAGATCATTGTTTCTTTAAAAGTTTCTTAGTACGCAAATAATACTCTGCTAAAGTTTCCTTGAAGATATTTAGTTTATTTATATTCACCATCAAATGTACTCAACGTGTCAATTTACTGTGCATAATAGACTGGATGATTTCTTTGATCTAGAATGTCTGAACATGATATAGGTCGCATGGGAACATGAGCAATTTTCGAGGGTTAGAGTAACTGCTGCAACTCTATCTGAGCTTCCTGCTGCGCCTGAATTATTTGAGAGGACTGGAGGTCTATATGATACCAGGTAATTTATGCAATATTTCTGTGAATAATATTATCCTGCCCTTGCTGGGTTTTTTTCTGAAGCTATGGTTTCTACTACAGGGGTGCAGTTGATGATAGAGCAGTTCACAAAAGTGTCAAACTAGTTGCTGAGAGCCTAGCGGTATGATCGGTTATTTAAGTTAGTTCTCTATCTATTAATGGATGGCTTCCTTTTGAACTGTTGTTCACTGTATCTATTCACTGTGTCGAGACACTCTTATACTAGTACATTTCAGATACTTTATATGACTTATTCTAAACTTCGCAACTCATCTAGGCTTATCTTGGATACGTCTGAGACTAAATTGTTAAGATTCAGATGTATAAATGGAGGATTCAAAATTCTATTTGATTCTTAGATGCATTATATTTATATAAATTTTTAAAGAGTATAATTTTTCACTTAAGTGATTAACATGCACTTGTATAATTTAATAATTGCTATATTTACAATGTATCAACCTCCTAAAGTTTTAGGACTTATCTATGTGGTCACTGGTCATAAGATGTCTTGTACCCCAGAGGTGCATGTGTGTATTTATATTTATATAATTATGTAGTAGATGATTTTTTGCATGTCCGCTTGTCTTGTGTCCTACTTTTTCAAAGTTTGACTATCACCTTGTCTGTGTAACATCATATCTGTATCCTGAATCCATTTTCATGCTTCATAGTTCAATCCAATGTGCAATTATCAAGCAGCATTACCTTCCCGAGCATTTCTATTATCTTTGCTGGAATGATATGAATTTCACCTTCCCACTTATTTCTTCTTTAGTTTTAGCTCAGTCTTTCCATTTTTTGAATCTTCAATTTATTGCTTCATGATAGCTAAAAAATGGAGCCTACTAGCTGGTAGTAGTGTACTAAGTCTAAGGTTAGGTAGCTAATTGAAGATATTCAACAGATACTGACTTTTACTGTGTCAATCTTCTCGTTGCATGCAGAGACATATTTATGGACATAAAGGCAAAGATATCCAGATTTTTGCGGATAATAGTAGCTTGGCGATAAATTCTGCATACATGAACTCATGGATGGAGCTTTTGTCTCGGACACCTCGAGTGGCACCATTTCTCTCAAAGAATGATCCATTTATTTCAGCCCTGAAAAAGGTTTCACTGCTAGAACTCATGGATTCACATTTATGCTAAATTCATTTATTTGGTCATTTATACATTACGCATATGGAAGAGTACTCTATAAGGATGTGATGTAAACATAGGGGGCTACCTAGAAATACTGACAGTTGTTTTGATCTGCAAACAAATGAACAACCAGAACCATAATATATTTGATTAAATTGCATATTCAAACCAAGGGGAAACATGCAGATCAGTAAATTTTTGGGGTCCCCCATATCCGATCTAAGAAGTGAAATTTGTTACTTGTAATACAATATAGCCTGTAGTGCACAAAAGCTTTCTGAGAATTCTAGTCAGATCTGAAATCTGAGGGTTCCTTGTTTCTTCTCTTGTACACCCGTCTACTGTATAAATACTTGAACTATTTACAACCAGTCCACTGGCAGCATATCTCTGGAGTTGTTTAAATGATGTAACTCTTGAGTATCTCTTCTTTTGAAAGAACATAACTGAATAATGTTATCTAGAGTCTGTCTAAATTTTGTTTTCATGTGACAGGAATTGTCGGATCATACCGTTGATTTGCATGTACAACACGAGAGCCTTGATGGATTATTCAGTTTCTATGATTCAACAAGAGCGACACTCAACATATATCAGGTACGGTTTCCTCTATTTCTCAAGATAACTGTCCTGATCAATACCTTTCACGTATCTCAAAATCTTGGAAGGTTAGATCGAAACAAATATGAATCCTTCTTTGCTTTGATTTAATTCGTAAAATCACATGCTTAAAGACACAAAATTGTTGAACTGCAGGTTGCTAGCGTAACCTTTGATCTCATTTTATTGCTCGTGCTGGGGTCATACTTGATTCTCCTGTTCTGTTTCCTTGTCATCACAACAAGGGTATGTAGCATGAGAAAGCTGGATTTGATTATTAAACACTAGTCAGGTCTACAGCATATATATTTATTATACTTTTATTTTTAATCAACAGGGACTTGATGATCTTATCAATATGTTTCGTCGCCCACCCACTCGTAAAGTGAAGGGAGCATGAGCATAGAAATTTTCGTGTTCACTACACTACCAAGCGGAGAGGCTAGTTCTAGGTTATTGTGAGTAGATATAACCTCGATTTGTACAATATCCTTGGCTGAGGAGATAAAGCATGTTCAGATTATTTATTCACTCATCACTAGAGTTTAAATTAGCAAGAGAAATTTTGACTATGAAGTACTACTGTAAAAGCTTCCTCTCCTTTCCGTCGGTATTTATAAGAATCAGTAAGAAGGATTCAAACAGAGCCAGATGAAATGGATTGTACAATATCCTCAGTGGAGGAGATTAAAAGTTTTTTTGATTGTTTATTTATGACAATTTATTACTAGTAAGCAAAGAAGGGTGAATGCGCTTCTAGCTTTCTAACTGGATCAATGTATTCACTTGCTGGCCTTCAACAAATATATACTGACATCGGAGACAATAGCTTATGTTATAAACACACATTATGCTTTCATGAAATTACATGCAAATTACTTAGCTTAATCCGCGAGGCAGAAAATGTTGAGGCACCAAAATAACCATTATATTTCATATAAAGCGACTTCTAAGCTGTACCGTGTGCTATCTCAAGTGAACTTAATTCAAAGCGTACGTTCTAAAATTGATTAACCCTGTGTGAAGCGTATCTAATTAGTAAATAATGGATTTAACTAATATATTTTTACCAGGAAACAAAAAAGGCCGAAAGAACAGAAAGAAAACACACTGATCCGTTTTCACGGACAAAAATCATCAAATAATAATGCTCACGACATCATTCTCATCTTTGATTTATAGGCTGTACAAACAGCAGCATAAAGACAAATTCTATTAAAAAAGAAGAAATAGAGAGAGAAAAGAAACAATAATATTATTATTTTCAATACCGTCCAATATATTGATATTAAGAAATATCCTATATATAAAACCCAAAACATCTCATAACTACAGGCGAGACTCTCACAAAGTTACATAAGCAGCCATCCAATCGCATGCGACATATGAAATAAAGATGGTATCTGCCCAAATCCAGACAGCGTCCATATCCTGCCTTCTTCGGTATCACTGTGGATAATGTGCACTCATCATTTCGCGGTACACCATATCAACAAAATGATCATTCTGCAACCGAGAGAAGATTCTTTATGAGAAATCAGGACGCAACATCAGAAGCAAATACTTGACCGAGAGCTCTGAACTTTTAAAAGGTAAGGTAGGGAAAATTGCAGATAGACTCTCTTCACTATCCCCCCAACTTTGGATAGACATGCTGTAGTTCTATTGTCACAGATAGACCCTCGAGTATTTTTTTTTTTTTGCCTTCTTCTTTTTGACACTGAAACCTCAGAGAGAGAGAAAATTGTTTTTTTATCAACAGACCTTCTGAGGGTAAAGGAGTCAAAAATACACTCAGGGTCTCTATCTGCAACGATAGAACCACATTGGGTCTATCCACCACAGTTGGCTGATTCTAGATGCAATTAACCCCAAAAATAAAAGGCTA